ATGGGCAGGGAGCAGAGGGATACAGATCCTTGGAAAATAGGCGACAGGTTTAGATAGAGGATCTGGATTGGCGCAGGCTTGGAGGGCCGAAGGGCCTGTTCCTGTGCTGTAACTTTCTTTGTTCTTTGTTCTTCGAGTGTTGCTGAACAGAATTTGGGATGAAGGTTCATAGTTACCTGAAAGTGGAGTCGTGGGTAGACAGGGTAGTGTAGAAGGCATTTGGTACACTTGTCTTTATTGGTCAGTGCATTAAGTATAGAAGTTGGAAGGTCATGTTGCAGCTGTCCGGAACATTGGTTAGGCCACTTTTAGAGTACAGTATTGCATTCAATTCTGGTCTCCGTGCCATAGGAAAGATGTTGTGAAACTTGAAATGGTGCAGGAAAGATTAACAAAGGTATTGCCAGGTCAGAAGATTTGAGCTATAGGGAGAGGCTAAATAGGCTGGGGCTATTTTCCCTGGAGCCTCAGAGACTGAGGGGTGACCTAATGGAGATTATAAAGTCATGACATGCATGGATAGGGTGAATAGACAAGGTCTTTTCCTCATGGTAGGTGAGTCCAAAACTAAAGGGAACCGTTTAAGGTGAGAGGAAAATGATTTAAAAGGGAACTAAGGGGCAACTTTTTCACGCAGAGGTTGGTGAATGTATGGAATGAGCTGCCGGAGGAGGTGGTTGAGGCTTGTATAATTACAATATCTAAAAGGCATCTGGATGGATATATGAATAGGACATGTTTAGAGGGATGTGGGCCAAATGCTGACAAATGGGACTCGATTAATTTAGAATTTAGAGTATCAGCATGGACTGAAGGGTCTGTTTCCATGTTATACATCTTTATGACTCTATTGTATTAGACTGTATCTTAGATATTAATTAGCCAGCATTTTTAAATGAACTATGAAAACAAAATACATAAATAAAATAAGCATGCATATATATGTACTAAATTGCATTATGCATTAATTTTTTACAGCTTTTCTAACAGCAAAGGCCAGCCCATTAAACCCATCCAATTGTAAATTCCTGCTTCATTTAATTCTAATCAAATTGAGTTCGTTTAACACAAATTAACACAGCTGAATACATATCTTGATTTTTTTTTCAATGTCCCTGATAGCATTTGCAAGATTTGCAGAACTGTCAGCTGAATTGAAATATAATTGTCAGTCATATACAATTGAGCAATTCCACTGGAATGTATTTTCTGAAAAGATCTCAGCTTCATTCTAGTACAGCCTTATCTTAATGAAGTTCAAGCTCGCACAGCACTGAGCTCTTCTTCCAACATCTTCATTTCTGTTACCACCTCTTGGTACTATTAGTCTTCCGCACACTGCAGATCTTTTCTTTCAGCTTCAAAATTTTCATTCCATCTGGATCCCACATTCTGGCCTCTTAATTTCAACAGATCTTTTTATCAAGATCTACTTGCCTGACATTTCAATTTCCCATTCTGTCTCTCCATTTAACTATTTCCCGCTGAACCTGCTTTACTCAGTGATCTGTAGCTGCAATGTAAGGTAACACAATGGAATATTTTTTCAATTATTCTTTCCATTGAAAATCTCTTACTTTAGAGAGGTAATTTGATACAGTTTTATCAAAACTGGGTTCACCATGAAATATATATTTGTTTTTGATTGGGTTGTCCAATCCTCCTCCTGTGAGTAACCCTACTTAAAATCACTGAAAGTGACTTTTGTAGGATATGCTGGACCATTTAATAGTTTCATTAATATGTAACAGTCAGTTGTTTTGGGGAAATTGAATACATTTTGACCTGATAAAGCTTTATGTTGGTACCTGCCATTGCCTAAGTGACTAAAAAGATGAATGTAATTTGATGAATTAACAACTTCTGTTTATATACTGCCTTTTACATAATAAAATACCCTCAGGGTAACCCACGGAATCTACAGGATCTCACAATTTCAAATTTGGCACATGACCAAATTAATGCCTGGTTCTACTCTTAATTAAACCTTGGACTAGAGTAAAAGATTGCTGAAAAAATTAAATTTAGTTGTTTTGGGCATAGCTCTATTTATATTTAAAATTTCCTGTCTTTTGTGCTGGTTTGGCTGTTTCGAATATTTCTGGTATAAATGACAGTCTGCCCTTTCACTTTATGACTGACTTAAGAACGCCTTTTTTCCACCTACCTAATATTGCCCAAAACTGCTACTGTCACAAATCATATGCTGCTGAAATTTTTATTCAGTCTTCTTTTATCCCTATACTCTATTCCAATGCACTCTGACTCCTGGCTAATCTTGCACATTCTAGCCTCTGTAAACTTGAGGTCAACCAAAACTCTGCTATCTGCAGCTCCTAACATTCTCCAATCAGCCCTGTGTTCGTTGATCGACTTTAGGTCCCAGTCAAACAACATCTTGATTTAGAAATCTCATCCTTGTTTTCAAATTCCTTAATGGACTTGCCCGTCCCAACTGTGTAATCTGCTCCAGTTCCAAAAAACCCTAAATTATCCTCAGCTCTGCTCTGTACCCGATTTTAATTGATCTATCATTGGCGAAGGCGTTTTCACTTGCCTTGGCTTTAAGCTCTATGTGGCATGACACATTTTTGCCTCTTTACCTCATTTTCTTCCATTTGGTGGTTCCTTAAAGCATTATAGTCAATTTAACCGAATATCTCCTCATGTGATGGAACTTCCTTTCTAACAGCATTGTGGCTGTTCCTACCACTGCTTCCTAAAAACGTAGAAAATATGAACAATAGTAGGCTAGTTAGTCCTTCAACCCTGCTCTACTATTCAATATAAGGTTATAGCCCTACAGGTTTATTCGAAATCACACACGCTTTCTGTGCGCAGCCGCTTTGTCAGGCGCAGTCACTTTACCCTGTCTAGTTCTAAACGGAGAGGGTAAATTATTATAACACAGTGTGGAGCTGGAGGAACACAGCAGGCCAGGCAGCATCAGAGGAGCAGGAAAGTTGACGTTTCAGGTGGCGACCCTTCTTCGGAAAAATCTGCAATTCTTACTATCTCTGGGTAAATGGTTATGATATTTTAATCTCTGATTTTATGTCCCAGTTGTTTTTATTTCCCCAAAATATTCAGTTGGTTCAAATAATGACTGATTAAAGTGCAATGACATGAAGAAACGTTATTTCACTATAGTTATCTGCATGAAAAACGAAATAATCCACACACCATTTTTGCTAGTTTAGTCCTACCGCAAATGTAATATTTATCAAAAGATTTAAATATTATCTGGGCATTAGAGACTTTGAAAGTGAACATGATCAAAAACAAGAAATGAGTGCCAACATCATGAATTGGATAACCTGCCAGGCAGAGCTTTTCAAAGTGATGGATTTTGCTTCTGCGAGCAGCCTCAGTGCTTTGTTTAACAGAATTACAATCCAGTTGGCTTTCAGCATCCTCCATCCACTTATACTCCTTTTACTAATTAAAAACGTTCACACGATGGTCAATGTTTTAATGTTCAAATTGTCCAATATTTTCCACTTTTAAAGTGATCCGTTAGTATTTGGAAATGCCAGCCCTGTGATGTTTATGGTTATATAGAAAAAAAAACACGATGATTCTCAGGTTACTGGCATATCTAGAAATCATCTTAGTTCAGCTGGATTCTCTTTAACTATTCAGAGTTTTCTAAAAGTATAGTAATCAACTAAACGCAAGGGTAGAAACTGGGATACTTAGGTCGAATCACTTTATTTCCACCCTACCTGTCGATGTCAGTTCCAATGTATTGAACACACCGGAAACCGATGTATGTGCTGTTCATCGTGATGTTTATTGTTAAGATGTTGTGACTACCTTAGTTCTCAAAGTTCTTAAATGTATAATATTTAGAAAGTCAGTCCGACAACCTTAATTCATACTATTCCTCCGGGCAGTCCGTTCCAGTCACTGAATTGTTTTGTTTTCTGTCCGCTTAAACTTGTCCAAATTTAAGCTAATATTGCATTCGTTCGTAACAAAAGCAGAAATTGTTGGAGAAACTCAGCAGGTGAGGCAGCATCTGTGGAGAAGGAAACAGTTAATGTTTAGACTTCTGAAGAAGGGTCACTGGATTCGAAATGTTAACTGTTTTCAATCCACAGATGCTTCTAGACCAGCGGAGTTTCTCCAGCAATTTCTGTTTTTTATTTGCTTCAGGTCTCCAGCATCCACAGCTCTTTGTCTTATTTTGTTCCATTCGTCCTTTTTTTTCCCCCAAAGGTTTCAATTTTTCTTTATGTTCCAAGTTGTTCGTGCTACAGTTTGGTTAGAGTAACAAATCATTTTAGCGTTACGATAGAAACTGAACACTTTCAAAAGCACGATTTAAATGTGTTTAAAATCTCACAATCGTCAAGTCACTGAGAATCAGTAACCCTTCTTCGTGTTCTTAAAACATTGTCTTCCGTTCCCGGTGATCGACACCAATTGCGAAAACAATATTGGTGATTCTACGTAAGTAAATCTAATGGAGAAGCGGGTGTAACATTTCAAGGTAAGGTTTGTTGCTATCACATGTTTAATTTAATATTACGTTGGAATACTTTGTTAATAGGGATTTTTTAAAAATTGGGCAATTGTTCTATCGAGTATATCCGAGTGTAGATGACTCCAAGTATATATATACTTTAAAATTTAATAAAATGTAATTGCTTGATATGCCTTATTATGACGATGGGTGAGGACCTTATTACTCAGATTTAAGTGTTTTTTTTTAAAAAAATGTTGTTTTATGTCTTTTCGGTACAGCTCCAACTGTGAATCAGTAACATCCCATGTTTTAAGTCGCAGCGGGAGACTCTCGGGATAAACGTTTGTAAAGCATCGGGCCTAACTCTCCAACACTGATATCAATGTGGTTTACATTCTGGGTCGGAGCCGGGCAGCGTAATTCTTCCAAAAAAAAACAACTGTGGATGCTGGAAATCTGAAACAAAAACGGAAATTGGTGGCGAAACTCACAGGTATTACGGCAACTGTGGAGAAAAGGCAGACTTAACGTTTTGGGTCCAGTGACCCTTCTTCAGAACAGCATAATTTTTCCCATCGATATTCAAATTCCCGGGGTAAGTACGATGCAATATGTGACTTTGGATTTCGTCAGGGTCCCAATATACAACTGCGGTGGACGTCCCAATATGCGCTTCTCTTGCCGTACAAAGATTCGAAGCAATAAACCGTTTTAAAAATATAACTGATCATATAGGCGAAGAGTGTCCATAATGTATTTCAGCCTTTTCCGTGCCAAGAATACAATCTAAAACAAGAAGTTATTCCAACTGGATCATACAAAAAAGTGCTTCCCATTATTAGAACAAAACTAAGTCACGAAAGAACCAAAGAATTGTATTCCAGTCTCTTCAGCAAAGTATCCAAAGCGAGATTCCCGCGCAGGTCGGGCGTCCGAAAGGTGGCAGCTTTGAGTGAATTCCTAGCTGATTGTGTTTTCAGTCAAAAGAAACATCAAGTGCAGCTCTGCCCATCTGTGCAAGCTCTTCCAACCCCGAAACCTCCAAAATAGCTATGTCCCTCTAACTCGTGCTTCCTATGTATGTTTAAATATAATTTTTCAATCTTTTGATGCCTTCCGTTGCTTAGGCTCCAACCTTGCAATTACCTAACAGGTTTCTGATGCCCTACCGCGCATTCCTCATTTAATACGTTTATTTAAACTGATCTCTTTGACCAATCCTTCGGTCATCCATTTTAATATTTCCTTCTTACACTCTGTACCATCCTTACAAGGTAAAATAATTCATATTGCTGAACAAATGTGAATTGATCACCTGTTTAAAAATGTTTAAGTAACGCCAAAAATCTTCAATGAAGCTGTAACTCTAAGCGAACGATTTGGCAGCGTTTACATTGTATAGATCACAGGCTAATGTGCCTGTTAATCTTGGTCAGTGGTCATGTTCTCTCCTCTAAATCAATACGTTCTGTGTTTAAATTCCACTCCAGAGCCTTGATACCTGAGTCTACTACTGGATGAGTGTAATGTGCTCTACCAGACAAAATGTTAAAGTGATGCCCTGTCTGCTGCATGACGTGAACATAGAAAATTGAATATCTCTCATTAAAAAGCAGGAGAGTTTATTCAGTTGTCCTGGTCAATATCACTAAAACAGATTAATTGTTTATTTAGCTCACTGCTGTTTGTAAAATCAACCTGTGTTTCCCTACATTACAGGAGTAGCTGCATTTTTTTAAAAAAAGCATAAAAGAGTGATCATTGTACCATAAAGTTTAGGTTAGTATCGGTGGGATGATCTAAAACAGAATTTATAATTGGAAGAGGTATAACTTCAGTGGGATAACAGAGGATGTTAGGGTAAAAGCAGAGGTTGACAGGGGGATAAAATCTCTAACAGAACAATGGATGATCTTTAAAGAAATGAAGTTTCAGCTACAAAGTATAATATTCCAGCAAGGGTAGATGGTCAGGGAATCAAAGTCATTGGACTCCTACAGAATGAATAAACAAAAAGGGGTGTATGATGCATCTCAGGTGAACTGTTCAAGCAAGAACCATGTCAAATATATTAAATCAATCAGGGTACTGAGGAGAAAAACACAACTGGTTAAAAGACAATATGGGAATAGGATGGCGATTACCTTCAAAGGGGAACCAGAAGTCTTATATTGACATTCAAATTGTAGGTAGTAGGGAGCCAATTAGGGACAAATAGGGAGACATGTTCTTTTGAGGCATGGGGCAATGTTAGAATATTTGATCAGTGATTTCTATTAGTACTTATTAAGGAAGAGAAGCAGAGACACCAGAGGTACTGAATGGGATGACAAAATATTGGAAGCATTTAGTGGAAGGTTGGTTATGTTTAAAGTGGATGAATAATCTGGTCCAGATGGCTTGCATTCTGGGATGCTAAATGAAGAGCATACAAGGACTTCCAATATGCCCTAGACTTCAACAAAGTCCCAGAGAACTAGAAAGAGGCAAATATACATCCTTAGCCAGAAACAAAAAAAGGGCAGTCCTAATAATTACTGGCTGGTCAGCTTAAAATCTGTGGTCAGTAAGCTTTTACATAAGCAATAGGAGCAGGAGTAAACCATTCAGCCCTTTGAGCTCACTCAACCATTCAATTAAGTCATAGCTGATTCTCTACTTCAACACCATTTTCCTGCCCTATCCTTCTATCCCTTGATGTTTTTTAACATGTAGAAATCTATTAGTGTCCGTTTGAGTATGCTCCACAACTACACCTTCACATCCTTCTAGGACAGAAAATTCCAAAGATAGGCAGAGGAACTCAAAGATAGAAACAATAAACAGGGAGCAAATATGCAAGTGTTTAGAGTCTTCAGTTAATTAAGGAGGGTCAGTATAGAATTGTAAAAGGTATATGTGTACTTTATTAACTTTTTTTATACTAAGCTAGGAAGAATTGTGAATTATGACAAGATGCAGAGTGACTTCAGAGGGCCATTGATGAGTTGACCAAATGGGCAGACAACTGGCAAATTAATTTCAATGCACACAAATGTGTCATAATGCATTTTGAAAGAAGAAATACAAAGAGACAATACAGGCTCAATGGTACAACTTTGAGGATAATACAGGAGCAGAGGGACCTCGTTGTTCGTGTGCATGGTTATCTGAAGGTGGCCAGGCAAGTTAAAATAGTTGTTAAGATAGCTTATAGGATCCTTGGGTTTATAAATAGAAGCATAGATGCTACACCTCTATAAATCATTGGTCAGACCTCATGATAAGAATAAAATAAGGTAATGGGATTGAGCGGGTCGCTTTACAAAAAGCTGACATGGGTTTATTGAGATGAATAGCCTACGTTTGTATTGTAACAGCTCTATGGCTCTATAAGTCATAAGGGACGAATAGGAAAAGTAGCTCAAAAAGTTTGGTTGTGTTCTTTTTGGTACTCTGTTCATTTGTTGAATTTCAATTTAACTCACTATGATGCAAATCAATGCTTGCAATCAAGTATGACCAAAGATAAAAATGTATTAAAAACCAAAAGAACTGCGGATGCTGTAAATCAGGAACAAAAACAAAGTTGCTGGAAAAGCTCAGCAGGCTGGCAGCATCTGTGAAGGTGAAAACAGAGTTAACGTTTCAGGTCCGGTGACCCATAAAAATGTATTACCTAGTTGTACATTTTATGTATATATTAAGATAATTCCTTCCTGAAAATTACTAATAACTTTTTCAATTTTCAAATATTAATTTGGGACCATTTACAAGTTATTAAAACAAAATACTGCAGATGCTCAAAATCTGAAACAAACACATAAATCAGTTCTGAGGAAGGGTCACCAAACCCAAAATGTTAACTCTGATTTTTTCTTCACAGATGCTGCCAGGCCTGCTGAGCTTTTCCAGCAACTTCTGTTTTTTGCATATAAAATGCTGGATTCAAAATATTAACTCTGGTTCTCTTTCCACAGATACTTCCAGACCTACTGAGTTTCTCCAGCATTTCTGTTTGTTTCATATATAAGATATTGTCTCTTAATTCAAATTTAGATCATGTGTTTCAAGAGAGTCTTGTCGTCCCAGCATTGTAAGTTTATTGGAAAACATTAGGATTGCAGTCTAAGTTTGAGTGTTTTCTGGCATCCTATTCTGAAGAAAATAAAATTTTCTCCCCAGGATAATTTATCTCTTATAACTGGGCAAATCAAGCAGCATCTGTGGAAATAGAAATACTTCTTCTCTTAATATATACTAAGGATAATGAATAAAATTTTCAATGCCCTTACTTTTGATTCCACATTTAAAAAACAACTTATTTCACATAGCATGCAAACATGCAATGATTTGAAGCATGGATTCTTGTCAATGGTTGGTATACTTTACAAGTGACATTCAAATCTTCATTGTATTTGTGGCAAGTGGCAACAGTCAATTTCCAGGGTGCAGTACAATTCTTGGTTCATTGTGAAACAAGATTTAAGAAATTGTTAAGTCCTAGCCTGGGTCTGTTAAGTTTGGACAAGCCTTGCATTGAATGTTTAAAAGTTATAAGGTACAGAACTGTAGTCACTCTGTTAAGATATAACAAAAGGAATACAAATTCACGTAACACAGAGTGCCCTGAACAGAGTTCTACATATACATGGGAGCAGTCAGCAACATTTAATAAACAGTTGTTGTAAAGCAGAGGTTGACCCCCTTCTGAGAACTAAAACCAAAACACTGACCTCACCCCATAATCTATTAAAGGAGTGTGAAAAGTGGTGTAACAAGGTGTAGAGCTGGATGAACACAGCAGGCTAAGCAGCATCAGAGGAGCAGGAATGCTGATGTTTCGGGCCTAGACCATTCCCTTCTTCAGACCCTTCTAACTACAACTATTCCCAAATAAAGCAACATTCTAATGGTATGTTGTTCCAATAAATACAAGTCACACTAATAGATATTTTTAAAAATTAGTCACTCGAAATTATAGCTAGGTTACCAGCTTCCAGAATGTTCTGTGCCTTCTCCGTCAATTCTTCTGCCAGGAATATTAACTAAT